CAGGATGTCGTATCGATGCCGATATTCTTGCCTGGCTGGTTTTCGGGCTCACGGACGAACGACACTATCTAGACTGGCTTAGGTGCCTACCCAGACGTTAAAGACCAATCCTACTGGGCCTTGCAATCACAGCGCCCCGTCATAAAGTTAGAAAAGTGAATCGAATTTATTGGCAAGCTACCAGAGACCTAACCTAGGTGCCATCAAATTCGTAAAGTAACGAGTCATCATCAGTGATCCGTCATTGTGAGAAGAAAAGAAGAAAGAAAAGCCATCCATCTGTCTAAATCATACGCGCAAATCGTATGGACAGAGAAGCGAATATACGAAGCGAATATCAATCCCAGGGCTGGACAGTACAAGTCATGTCCGGTTACAAGATTGCCCATATCGAATCAGAGAAAAACCAGGTTTCTCTAGGAGTGCGCGTCACCTCATACCGGCGAAGACACTCGTAGTGCTTCTACGATTCCGAGGCTGGGTGGCCTTATCAGCGCCCTACCATATGATATTTTGAGAGTTGCTCTCTCCCTCAAAACCAGGCGTCTCGGATTGCTGGGTGGAATCAGATTTGCCAAGCTTTTTCGCGAGCCAGGTTTCATCGAACTTCAACTTCACCGTATCGTTGGCGAGCTTCTTCGAATCATCGACGTCCAAAGCGCCATTGGTAGTCAAATATAGCGCGTGGCCATAGAACTCCTCGGTTCGAATGCGGCATCTGCTTTTGCTCACCGTCTCTGCGTGCGCAATCCACGCAGAGGTGGAATTGAAGAATGTGTGACATCCGGGGCAGCGGAGTCGCGTGTCCGATGAGTGCGTCGGGGAGCGCAGGTGGCCAACCAGTCCCCCGGGACCCTTGAATTTGGAGCTGTGGACAAGTTAGCCATACAATTTGGACAAAGGTTATCTGACTTTCTTAATACTCACTGACACCCTTTGTGGGGACACTTGTAAGTACCCAAGATAGGATCCTTGAAGAGAGCAGGATTGAAACCAGGATGATCCGGGTCAATAATGCGCTCTCCAGACGGTGGACCAGAGGGAACAGGTCGTGCCACGTCCTTGACGAGAGAGGTTGAGGGTTGCACAGCCGGTTGGCTCTTCTCTGGGAATAGATTCTTCTTCTGAACCCCAGCGTTGTTCAGGTGCTGCTTAAGATCGACGGTGTCGTTTCTAGTTGAAGGGTGAGATCGATCCGAGCCGCCGCGGTGGACCACTTGTTTGGAGGTGGGTGGGAGTTTTTTGGCTTGCTCCTGGTGGGAGGCCTTATTCCAGTCGGGTCCCCAAACATCCGAGGGGTGAGCTGCGCCCCGGCCAGGGAGCGCGCTCCAGTCGAGGTCGAAATGCCCCTTCTTCTGCAGAGCCTTGGTGAGGTACGACAGAATCTCAGGGGCATGACTGGACAATTCCGAAGGGAGGACACCAGGACACTTGTTGGTCTCGACGTGCTGAACCCAGCTTGCGGCTGTGGTGAAGGTCACAACGCAGCCAGGGCAGGTGAGATCCTGTTCCGCGCGATGATCCTATATATGGTCATGGTCAGTTTACTTAACCAATATAGAAAGGTTATATATGGAGAGGGCCTGCCTTGATTTGATGATTGAACAAGGCTTCCTTCGAGTGGAAGCATCTGTCGCAGGAATCACAGACTATGTGACCTTCTTGCTCCTCATGGAATACCAGAGAGTATCGGCTAAAGAAGATCAGTCCGCACTTCTGACACCGAAGATCGCCATTGAAATAGCTAGTCAGCGACGAATAGTTGGTCACTAGCGCATTGTTAGCTAGCGATGGAGTGGCCGTCGTCGGCGTGGCACCGTCAGTCGTTGAGGAAACCATTTTGATTCGCGTCAACCCGAACGGCCTTCGAACGGGCTGCCGGGGAGGGGAAGAATAGATCCTGTATGAGAAGGGGAACCGGTGATGAAGCCTCGACAATAACCTGTACCAGAGATTGGCGAGGAAATTTTGTTGATGAGGTAGAAGGAAAATAGAGCGAAGGAGATGAAAAAAAAAAGCTGTTGAGGAAATGGCAGAGGGGCACGTCTTTTGAGAAGGCGTTTGCAGTCCTGAAGGATGTTTTGAGGAAGGTACCTTCCCGTCGCTAGGTATTGACTGTTTTACATAATGCTCTTTTCCAGGATGAAGAAAGGAAGGTGCCAAACGTAGTACCCACATACTAATGGGATGTACAACCTGATAGCAACCTTCACCGGCGCTCCTGCCTACTGGGTACTAACCTTGGTGGGTATTACCCAATAGTCTGCCTATATATTCAATGTTAGGTGCCTACTGAACTGCTGACTGTACTGGTTGACCCGTAGAACATTACATCGTAATGGCTGAAGAGTCAAAGCAAGTATGCTGTAAATATTTGGTGTGATCCATGGATTACACCCAGTAATAACTACATGTAACTATTGTGTAGTATGTACGAAATGTATGTGAAACGTTAAATTTCTACATGCTAATACCTCTAGGACTATCAATGTACCTAATGTATAAATAGCAACGACACTGACAGCCGTGGAGGTGCCTTGTTACCAGGACTATAGGCGACGACAACATATTTCGTACCTGGCCGTACCTAAATTAGGGAAGCTTCAGATAAGTTACTCACTGCCAATGATTATTTGAGAGCATTTGAATCCGGGATTGCCTGCCTTCCTTCCAAGCTAGTATGTATGAATCACGCAGTTTTATCATCACAATGGCCGTGAGCACAAGTCTGCTTGATGAGTGGAAGTTGAGCACAAATCATCATAGTGGTACTGAATATGTTTCACCAGTCGGGGATATCTGAACAATACGGTAGAAGTTTGACGTGAAATTTTGTGAGGAACTAGGTATCTCATGAAGCTAGATATAGGGGTTCACTGACCCCTATGGGCTGGTCCATGAGTCTTTCAATCAGCTTGGGGTGGTAAACGGGAGGGATAGACGGGACTTGCAGTAGTGCAGTATACTGGATTGTATGGATAAACCCACAATGTCTAGCACAGAGGCGTCCTTTACGTCTTAAGCCCATGAAGTAATAAGATATATTTTGAAGGACGCTGTGAGAGGTGTTTGGGATTAGCTAAGGAGGTAGTCAGCTGTCTAAGGGCTTACCTAATCAGGTGGTTTACAGCGTCACGCCACATCACGTGCCTCTGTTGTCATTATCGATTGCTGCTTACGTGCATGAAATGGACAGGGCGAGACCTTATTAAGCTGAATTACGAAGGTCGCTTGGCTCGGCGCCGTCATTGTACAGTACCTGTCCTTTGTACTCCATCTTCAATCAATTCATGAATCCCGAAATGTATCAAGACAATCTGGCCTCGCTTAGAACGAATCGAATGTCATAGCAACCGTCGAGCTTGACACGGAAAACCTTGAGTCTCTTTCGAATTCTAAAATCTACATTTGTATTCCGTTTCCTTATTTAGAATTGGTCTTCTTTACCTGCGATGTCCTTATAAGTGATCGATAAACCACCCCGCCACATAGAGAAGAGAGACATTACCGCACATCCCATCGATATCGATCCCCAGCCATCATGGCCACCAAGCTCAACACCAAGTCGCCCACCATGCGGCGCATACGTACGTAGCTACACAACTAGGACACGCAAGCAACATTTACGTATTATAGCTAACTAACTGACCAAACCCAACAGTAAAAGAAGCCGCCGAGCTCTCCACCTCCCCGTCCCCAGACTACACCGCATCGCCGCTCGAATCCGACCTGTTCGAATGGCACTTCACGCTGCGCGGCCCCCCCAACTCCGCCTTCGCCGAGGGCATCTACCACGGGCGCATCGTGCTGCCGCCGACATACCCGCTGCGGCCGCCCTCCTTCCGCTTCACGACGCCCAGCGGCCGCTTCGAGGCCAACCGCGAGATCTGCCTCAGCATCTCGGGCCACCACGAGGAGACGTGGCAGCCGGCGTGGGGCGTGCGCACGGCGCTGGTCGCGCTGCGCTCCTTCATGGAGACGGACGCGCGCGGGCAGGTCGGCGGGCTCGATGCCACGGATGCCGTGCGCCGGCGGCTGGCGGCCGAGAGTAAGGAGTGGAAGTGTGCGGTGTGCGCGAAGAGCAATGCGGAGATTATTGCGGAGTGCGAGGCGCGATGTAAGGAGCTGGATGCGCAGAACGAGGGGAAGAAGAGAGAGGAGGTTGAGGTCCCGGCGGAACTGAAGATGGGGTTCCGGGATGAGATGGAGAAGGCGAAGGCTAGTGAGAGTGGGAAAGAGGATGCGGAGAGCGCGGAACTGGCGGAGGGATTCGTGCAGACGGCGCCTGTGAGGGAAAATCCGACACCTACGACTACAACTCCGACGGCACCACCGCCTCCTAGACCCGCACAAGGTGTTCCTGCGCCGACGGAGAGAGTGCCATTGGTAGATCCAATTGGGCAGGCCCTTTCTCCATTGCCTCCACGACAAGTCGACCTGAATGGAGGAGTGCCGCCGTGGGTCGACTACGCCATCGCGTCACTGGTGATCATACTGATTGCGATGGTCCTAAAGATTTTACTGGGTTCTTGATCATGAAGACATGAACAGGCAAGTAAGCAAGCAAGCATCGGTAACTGGCGTTTCAGGCAGGATAAAGGCAAGACAATGTTTATTCGTTATGGGTATTGATACCAAGAATTAAATTAGATCCGAATTTCGAAATCTCGATACCTACCGTGGTGACCTATGTTAGTGTCCTATCCTATTGGCCTACTAACTGAAGCTTCTGGAGATACTACGAAGATTTCTCTCCATATGGGAATCCTGAGGTGTAATACCATTCCGATCCACACACAAGATTCTCACTGTAAGGCACGCAGCAGCAGTAGGAAGGAAGTATAAGGCATCATTAGATGTGTCGATATATCAACTCTATTCTCCTACCTTGCCGCCTCCTCCAACATCGTGCCCATTAGCCACAAAAGCCAATACCAAACCTCTCCCATTGAATCCCAATAATCCAAAAAGAAAAGAACAGCAAAAAGGGAACAGTTTGGTGGCGCCAGACGGGATCGAACCGCCGTTTGCACGGAAGTTGCTTTTTACAACCTTTAAGAGATCGTAAGCCACAACGTGCTGTCCTGCCACTAGACGATGGCACCTTTTGGACTTTCTTCGCTTGTTGGAAATTTTCGTCTGGTATTACACATTAAGTAGGCAGCAAACTTTTTCCTTAGCCAGTGATTTCCTTTAGATGTTGTTTTAGGTTTCCGGCCCTAGTAGGGCGGCCGCGATGGGGCTGACCCGCTGCGGATCGAGCGAGATGGGGTCTATGTCTTGGGATGGGCAACTTGAGCCGCTTAGCTAGGAAGAAAAATGACTACATGTACGTAAAATACTACTAAGAGAATTAGGTTGAGATGATTCCCAGTGTAGCCGTAGCAAAGTACTCGAGATGCGGATGTGGATTTCACAACTAGACTACTAGGTAATGTTACACCAATGTGAAGAATATGGATATATATCACTTCTTGAGAATAGACTATGGTCTCTTTCATTAAGTATGTTCATTACTATTTCATGCTATGGAAATCTCAAAACCCCAACCCTAGCAATGCTCGTCAGTTCAACCTGTCCGGTCTATTCTACTCCGTAAACTCCTTGCTATGCTCCGGGTTTTATCGATCCTTTCCGTGCCATGCAATGCAAAATCTGTTGTTGGTACACTTTACATCAAGTTTCTTCCTTGATCTTAGGAGGTTCTCTTCCCTAGCGTCTCCACTGCTAGTCTTCCCACGGCTAACCACCACCACTCGCCCACTGTCGCACCTTGATCGGACTCGATGTGTTCCAAGAGACCTAGCCCGTCGATCCAGTCCACGATCAACTTCGCCTCGAATGGTTCGACGAACGGCTTTAGCAACACGCTCGAGCTCTGCGGGGTCAACGGACCTTTGGTCGCGAGTGCCAGCGTCACCATACTAAGATAGGTCACCCAGCGAACCTTGTCGAACTTCCCAAAGAAGTCAACCCAGATAGGTATCTCCTCCCGGGGACCCTGTTGAGGTGCTTCTATGCGGGTTACTTGGTGGAGTACGGGCAAGTCTTCGTCAAATACGTAGCTCTCCGTAGGCGATAGCTTCACGTTGAAGTGATAGTAGCTTTTAGGGAACGTCCTGCCATCATAGTTTCCGGGCTCGAAACCGAAAGGAATATCAGGAGTATCGATCGCTTCTACGCGGATACGACCGTGCGCTTGGAGATTGATGATAGCCATGATGGTGCCGTCATCGACAACGTAGGGTAAGAGAAAGCTTCCTTCCGTGTGGAGACTCTCATCTAACTGCGTTTTGAAATTGGCGGCTTGGACGAACTTGTCGATGGTGACAGCTCTTTCAAGATGCTTCGCAAAAACACCGTGGAGCCTCAAGGCACCGCCAAGTAATTTCCCTTTGCTTCTTGCCGTTACCCTTTCTGACGTGAGTTGATCGACTACTGTCTTGAGCAGTTTATTCGCTTCGGCCTCATTCGAGTTACTCAGCCTCAAGAGCTTCGCGCGAATCTCCTCTGGAGCGTTAGGGCCTTTTACGGAAGTTATGCATAGAGAGCGGACCCACGACCTCGCCCGGCCGATGATCTCTTGGTTGGCTGGAGTGTTATGGCTCAGAGGTATTGAGATGGGCTCACTAGAGGTAGCTTCTATGCGTGAGAAAACAGAGGCTAGATTTTGGAACCATGCCTCCCGCCAATCTACAGTCTCATTGATCACATCCTCAACAGAAAACATGTCTTCCAGCTCGTTACGAGACGCAGGGAGGTCAATTTTCTCGTGAGCCTCGAGTTTAGTAGCCCAAATAATAAGTTTCTGCCAATCGTATGAATCAAGATCGTCGTAATTGATGGGTGCAACTTCCCCCGTCTCGTAAGCTTCTAAGAATGCTGACTGGAACTTCGTAGTTAAAGCATCTATGTAGCTCTTTCGCGTCTTGCTGACTCTAGGCCAGAATTTCCTGAGAGCTGAATGAGAGAATTTCGGGAAGGTTTTCAGGATTAGGCCAATGTCCGGCTTCTTTTCTATACCACCCAGGAGTATTTTAAAGACTACGAATGCGGCTATGAGCTCGGTTTCGCCGCTGAGGCCAAGATCGTCGTTATTCGGGCGTGGTCGGCTTACACGGCCCCTGTGTTGGACGGGTATCGGTCGGAACATTCGTGTCTTGTACTTAACCTCCGGCTGGAGTGCCGACCGTGCTTTTCTCATCATCCTCTTCGCGGTTCGCGGCTCATCATTTTTAGGTCTACCCCTTGCGGTTTGAATAAAGTCCGGCAGACCAACGTTTTCATCATGGGGAGACGCATTTTTGACCTCGTCCGGTATATTCTTCGCCGTATATTGGGCTGTGCTTGGCCATTCGAGAACAATTGGTTTCATATTTGCTCGTGAGTCATCGAACGAGAGGGATATGAATATATAATCTGGTGCGATCGACCCGTGTAAGAGAATTTGAGATCCCTCGGCCGACTGTTCCCACCTCTCGATGATGCTCACTTCACGAAGGAATTTTCCGTATAAGGGGTCGGCCCAAGAGTTGAACTGGAATTTGCCTCGGAGAGATCTGATGATATCCTCAGCGCTCTGCGGTAAGTTCTCTCGCTGGAACCATTTGGCGTCTGGCATAGAGCCATTTAGCACGAAGCTCGTTGAGTCGGACTCGAAAAAACTAGCTGACAACCACGGCCAGCAGCCAGGTCGCGTGCTCTGAATCGTCTTGCTCTTCGGGAATACCACGCTAGACTCATCAACACCAGGAGAGACATTTGAATCCTCGCCCGCAACGGCGTCGTCTTGGGTCTCGCCTGGAATCATCTCGTCGTCGTCTTCCTCGGACCCCGAGTCTTCTGGTACGAAAGACGTAGAGAGCGAGGGCTTGACGAATCTATCTATCGTTATACTCTTAGTTTTCGTGTCGTCATGATAATCTTCATTGTTAATCCAAGGCGCATCGGTTGACGCTGGCCCATTGCCTTTCGAAGCCCCAAGAGACGCGATTGATTTATCGCGTGCCCGCCGTTTCGTTGATGCAAACGCATTTTCGCGTGGGGTCTGGACTGAAGATAATATCTTATCGATGCTAGGTCGCAATGGAATGACTTCATGAGGTGGAACGGCCCATGTCCCCTTCTCGAAATCTTGAAGGCAGGCAGGTTTTTGATTCCACCTTTCGCCTTGGTTCTGTTTTTGATTCCAGATATACTTGGCCACTTTGCCGGCCGCCCAGTACTCGCGAGGTTCGCCACGTTTCCGGGCCTTTGGACTATTCCGGGGCTTGTCGCCGCCATGAGCGCCAATACGCATTTTCTTCGTAGGTGATCCGATCACCGATTCGTCGTCCTCCGCAGAACGCTTTAGGCCGGCGAGGTAGGAAGGGACATCATCCATGAGATGTTCCGGGTATTGTAAGACTTCAATATCCTCAGTCACGTTTGGCTTTTGATGTAGCTTATGAGATGCGGTCGACCGCGGAGAACCCCCGAATTTGGATGCTAGGGCGTCAAAGAGTTCGCTTTCTTCCTGTGGTAACGAAAATTCCTCGGGGATATACGGCTCTGGGAACATTTCTTTCATCTTCTCCTTAACACTGACCACTTTAGGGCTAGCGATAAGCTCTGGGGTACTGATCTCGCCCGGCCGGAGTTTTATGAGGACGCGCCAGTGGTGGATCTTGTTGCCGCTGTCGAGGAAGCCAAAGTGGTGTTGTGTCAGTTTTCCAGCATTCTCCATTGTGTTTACCACACCCTGACAAACCTTTCTGTCAGGAGGTTCGATGTCGCTGTATCTCTTAACCCATAGGGATACCACAGCCAAATAGACAGATAGAAGTCCAGGGAACACGCCGCCATTGTTCTCAAGCAGATGCTCAATGATTTGAGTCGTGCGCTCTTTTCGTACCTTTCCAACGGTGGGCGCGGGTGTCTTGCGGGGTTTCTTGAAAGATGACTGCTGAGCGGCCTGACCGGATACGCTACTGGGTTGGCTATTTATTGATTTGAATCCATGACTGTTTCCTGCCACAGCTTCCACAGTTGGTTGGCGGTTGGCTGGTTGCGTAGTTACTCCTGAGGAAGTAGGGCGTGGCGGGATCGTCGGGTTTATCGAAGACGGTCGTAAATTAAAATCGGACAGTGACCCAGTCTCATGAAAACCAGCATGTATTCCGGGCATCTCCGTCTTAGCTCCCTGGCTCTTAGCAGGTGGTAGCGGTGTTCTCTTGGGCTTTTTCTGAAGAGCCTCCGATGCAGCGAGTACGGGCCCTTCATTTTCGGTCCCCAGCGGACGCTTGGCGCTTGGTACGGGACCTTTAGATGGTTTACTTAATTCCGGGCGTTGGGCGTAGCTACGTTCTCGACGTTTTCGATGGTCGATAACATCGTAGGCTTCTACGTCCTGTAGGACGATAGAGCCCCGAATAAGATCGGCCCCCGGTGAATCTGTGGTACCTTGGCTGCTTATAAAGGCATCGCTAATCCGCACACGCTTAGAAGGCAAGAGTGGGCGCCTGCGCCTAGCATCGGAGTTGTGCTTGGGCTGTCCGCGGTCTGAATCTAATGGTTGTGAGGAGTTTTCAATCTCGCCTTCGGCCTGGTCGCCCTGTCCATTCAGCGGCTTCGTCTTAGGTATAGACTTTGGCTTGAAAAGCTCTCTGGGAGGTGGAGGCGGAGGCGGGACGTAATCGGGATTGCAAGTTGACTTGGATTTGGTGAGGTGATATTCTAAGCCGTTCGAGTTTTTGAAGGTCTTGTCGCATTTGTCACAACTATACACCAATTTGCTGCCGCGTTTCGTTGGTTTGCACTTGGCCTTCACCGTCCCTGCTTCCGGTGAGACCGTAGCTGCAGCGTGAGGCAAATTCTGCTCTGAATTCGTAGCGGAGGATTCGGTTGGCCCTGAGGAGGCATTTGCAGTGTCCACAGGCAGTGTATTTTGCAAACGCTCGAGGAGAGGCTTGAGTGCATCATTCTTGAATGTAAGGACAAGTGACTTTTTTCGTCGCCCCTTTTTCCCGGGCGGGTCTAGCATGTTGTCGGGCTCACGATAGACGCCAGATGGCCTTGGAGGTGGCGGAGGAGGCGGAGGTGGCGGAGAGGGTTCCTTAGCAACAGG